AAACGAGGAAGTTTAATTAGTGTGTGCATTACGCTGAAAATTAATCCGTCAAAATTAATATTTCTAAATGAATATTCCCTTTAACATGCCTTTATGTAACGCGTCCCTGTGCAAGAGTCCCCAGAATTTCGAAAACAATTCGCTGTGTGATCTATCAAGACTTGCGTTGCTATTACTAGTCACCTATTTCAAATCACATTATTGATATCGTTTTTGTTGTTCGGTTATCACTGTTATTATCATTATTATTATTATTATTATTAGCTATTATGGTTATCATTATCATTAATTTTATCATTATCATTATAATCTTTATTGTTATTATTGTTATCATTTTTTAATTATTATTATTATAATTCTTATTGTTATTATTGTTATCATTTTTTATTATCATTATTAGCATCATAATGATAGTAATTACTATCAGCAGCAGTAGTAATAGCAGTATCACAATTAGCAATATTATTACTTCTATTATCATTATCATCATTGTTATTACCTTTATCATCAATAATTAGTGCTATTATAGTATGCTATATACTATATCTATCATTACTAAAACTATTATTATTACTACGATTACTATTACTTTTATTATTATCATTGTTATTATTATTATCATTACATCTTATATTACTATCACTATCATCAGTATCATCATTATCATAATTATCCTTGTTATTTTCATAATTATTATATTTGTATCATTATCATTACTGGTACTATCATTAATCTGATTTTCAGTGGTGTTGTTATTTTTATTCTTATTCTTATTATCACTGTTTTTTATTATTACTGCTATCACTCTCACCATTTTTGTCACTGACATTGAAATACTAGTACTACTAGTACCATTCGTAGTACCAGCAAGGACACAGAAAATAGCATCTACAAAATTATCACAATAAAACTAATGATGATAGCATTGATATGAATCTAATTTTCCTTCGCTAGATGGCAGCATCAGAGTCATCATTCGATATTTACTGAAGAAATAATAACATACCATTATCTGGAGAGACAGGAGGCGTCCAGGTGACATTCTGGCAGGCAAGGAGCTGTGGGGAATCATCAGGGAGAGAGCCATCTGCAAGAATTTTGTCGCAAGGGTCATATTCGCATGGCTCCGCGCCTGAAAGAAAACGGGGCGTGGGTGCTCTAGAAAACGATGTCATTATATCTAATTGGCATCGTTGCATTTGGTCTCGTGGTACAAGACGAGAAATTATGATGCCGAGGTATGTTTCATATGTTATGAGCTGTACACGAGAGTTAGTGTGTGCTTAGTGACATGAGCGAGTAGGCTTGTTTGTTTATATTTTTGTTCTTCGGTCAAACACGTTTGGTTGGTCGTCTGTGTTTATGAAAGCATCTGTGTGGGTAGGTGCGGGGGTGTGAGTATGTGTGTGTGCCTATACGGAGGGTTTTAGTGCACATGTGTACGTGTGTCTGTACGCGTGTGTATGTGAGGGCATAATGAGTGTTTATGTGTACGTGTAACAGAATGGTTATGGCTGTGTACATGTACTGAGTGTTTACCTGTGTACGTGTATCTGCATGTCTGTATCAATATGTGTGCATTTGTGTGCGTGTGGAGATATATATATACATGTGTGTGTGTGTGTGTGTGTGTTGAGAGAGAGAGAGAGAAAGAGAATATATGTATCTGCATGTGAGCGTGTATACACATGCGTATAAGTGTACATCCATAAGATTCTTTAAGATGTAGCGTATAATAACTTCAAGGAAACGGACGGCCATATAGGTCAGCAAAGAAAACGGGCGAGCTTAATGTGGAAGAAGCATGATGCTCTATATTACAAGTTTGTTTATGTTGTGACTTTTTGTTCATTCACGCTTTGGTTCGTTCACCTACCCCGAATTTCCTCGGCGATCTGGGGCTGGTTCTTCGCGACGGCCGTGTCGAGCGGCGTGAGGCCTGAGGCACAGAATTTACGGCCGATTAGGATTATTATACCATGTGTGCGTGTTGAATACGTAAATATATGTACATATGAGCATATATGTGTGAACCCGCACACGCACACATAAAGACACACACACACACAATAACACACACACAAACACACACACACACACACACACATTTGCACATTATACATATACCTGCACATAAGGAAACTCAAGCAATTGCAAACGTCACCCGAGGCGCGAGTACCTCGCCGCACGCGCCGCATGCAAGGCCGCAGCGCAGTCACTCACCCTCGGCGTTGACGAGCGAGGCGTCGGCGCACCATGCCAGCAGGATGACGACACCGCCCAGATTACCGCCCGCAGCAGCTCGGTGCAGGGGCGTGTTGCCTGCAGGGACACCAGGCGGTCACGTGATCTCGGCTTACTTCTCGAGCGAACGAGCCAAATGTTTTTTGAGCGAGAGATTAGCCTTTCTGTTTGTCCTGATGGCTGTTCGGGTGACGGGAGGGATCGGGGCGGCGCTTCGCCTTTTTGCCCCTAATGATGGGTCGGCGCAGATGATGATGCTTACGAGGTGCCAAGGTATTTATGAAAGGCGCCCTCGGTGTGTTATGGGATTGGTCGCGCTGGGACAGATGGTCGTGAGTGTAATTGTAAGAACAGATGACAGCGGTTGATAACACTCGAGAGGCGATGATAAGGGTAATGTTTAAGTTAGAGTGATGGTTATGAAGATGATGATGGTAAGGGTTATGTTGGCATCATGATGATTATGATAACAATGAACATAATTGTTATTATCACAATCATCACTACTGTTGTGTTGTGATTTTACTGTGATTATCATTATTAGTAGTATCATTGCTAACATTTTTATCAATATAATAATAATAATTATTATTACTATTATCATTATTATTATTATTATTATTATTATTATTATTATTATTTTCACTATTATCATCATTATTATTATCATCGTTATCATTATTACCGTTTTTTTTTTTTTTTTCTTATTCTTATTAATATTAATGTTGTCGTTATTGTTGTTGTTATTTTTATTGTTATTATTATCATTATCATTATCATTACTCTTTATTATTATTATAGGTGTTTTTGATGATATTACTCTTATCATTACTATCATTATTGGTAACATTTTCTATCATTATTGTTAATTTTCTTATCATTATTATCATTATTATCATTATTGTTACTATCATTATTATACTCATTAACATTATCATCGTTATTATCATTATTATTGTTGTTATTATTATCATTATTATTATTGTTATTATCATTATCATTCTTTATTGTAATTATCATCATTACCATTATTAGTATAATTATCATCATTACTATCGTTAGTATCATTGTCATTATTATAAGTTTCTTTATAATCACTTATTATTATTACCATTATCATCATTTCCAATATTAGCATTATTATCATGATTATTGTGGTTGTTTTTGTTGTTGTTGGCACTGTGAATATTGTTATTAACATTAATACTCCCATTATTATCATTATTGTTATTATTTTCTTTATAATAATGAGAATAACTGTTAGTATTATTATTACAAATATTGTTATCATCATTAACACTATCTTTCATTATCATTATCATTATTATCATTACAATCATCATTTTCAGTATTGTCAATATTAACATTATCATTATTTTTATGCTGTTGCTGTTTGTACCTTTCATTGTTATTATCCTTATCAAACATATCATTATCATTGTTATTAAAATGTCATTATTATTATCTCTGTCATTATCACTATCTTTACAATTGTTATTGTCATTACTGCTGTTATCATTATTGTCAGTGGTAGTAGTAGGTTTAGTAGTAGTAGCAGCAATATTATTATTATCATTATTATTATTATTATTATTATTATTATTATTATTATTATTATTATTATTATCATTATTATTATCACTGCAATCAACACTATTGTCGTTATCATGATTATCATTATCACCATTATCATTACTATCTGTATCACTATTATCTTTTCTATCATTCATTATTATCTTTATTATCTCATTATTATCCTTATTATCAATTTTATCATTGTTATAATTATCATCATTATCATCCTTACCATCATCACCAACGTAATCATCACCATCATTATTATTAATTTAATCACAGCTATGAATGAAACAATCCTAGCACCGCGACCTGCAACATCCTTTGACCCTTCGAGCAACGCCCCCAAAACCTCCTCTTGCATCATCCTTGCGAAAGCTAATATCGGTGATTTCTGCAAGGCGTCGCTTCTTATTTACGTCCCCATCATCTCTAATAATATTGTCCGTTCTTATGACAGCCTCGAGTCAATTGCTCGCCGTATTGGCTTTATCGACGTGAGTCATTTTCATTACTTCTACTTTTATGATTATGGTAGTTATCTTTGTTATTTTGGGTCGTCAGTTTCTACTGTTTTTTTCTGATACCACTAATATTACTACTATTACTACTGCAGCTACTACTACTACTGCTACAATAACTACTACTAATGCTGCTGCTACTGCTGCTACAACTACTACTACTGTTACAACTGCTAGTACTACTATTACTACTGCTACAACTACTGCTGCTACTACTACTACTACTGCTGCTGCTGCTGCTGCTGCTGCTGCAGCCACTACTACTATTACTACTATCATGACTGCTGCTACTACTACTACTGTTACTACTACTACTACTGCTACTACTACTATTACTGTTGCTACTACTACCACTACTGCTACTGCTACAACAACAACAACTACTACTACTACTACAACTGCCATTACTACTACTACTATTACTGCTGCTGCTACAACAACAACAACAACTACTACTACTAGTACTAGTAGTAGTAGTAGTAGTGCTGCTGCTGCCACTACCACTGTTACCATTGTGATTGTTGCTGTCATACTTATTGTTGTTGTTATCATTATTACTATTATCATCCTTATTACCATTATCATCATTATTGCCATTATCATAATGATAATGATAATAATGAAAATTATGATAATGAAAATGACAATAGTAATGATGGTGATGATGATGATGGTGATGATGATAACAATAGTGATAATAATGATAATAATGATTATGATAATGATAATATAGATGATAATGATATCATGATATCAATACTACTACTAGTACTTCTACGAGTAGTAATAGTAGAACAGTCATTAATAACGTAACTATTACCATGATCATTATCATCATTATCATTATCATTACTATTATCACTTTTACCATCACCATCACTATCATTATCATCATTGTCTTTATCATCACTATTGCCACTTTCATCATCATTTTTATTACCCATTTCTATATCTTAATCATTATTATCAACATTATAATCCCTTCTTTGTACCAACACATAATCATTCTTAAAGAGATGAAGATATTTACATACTAATTTATACATAATATGAATCAGTTCTGGCGTTTATTAGGATTAAAATCATAATTTTAAGAGACGATGTGACGAGCAGCCAGACAGAATCGACGTGAGGTTTTGAGGAGGAAAGAATCAGCTGATTTGCAAGAACTAACTGGCTGATAAAAGACAATGGGTGATAAAAAAAAAAAAAAAAAAAAAAAAACATCAGTGGCTTTATCAAGTGAAATATGAGTAAATGACATTAAGAAGTGATGGGATTATTCTCCATCCTATATAGTGGCTCATCCCCACACTAAAAAAAAAAAAAAAAGAAAAAAAAAGTTGTTAGTCACGTACCCCTTGACCTTTTGCAGCACCAACTGCGGGTCCCTCATAACTTTTACTATTATTTCTGTCAGAACCTTTAAAAACAGACACTGAGTAATGTACAACAGTGGATTATAAAAAAAAAGTTCCATAATACTATCAAGATGATAAAATACGAGTCCTCCAACTAATTCAAGTAAAAAAAAATGCATCTATAAATATTAGAAGTAAGTCGTATCCCCTGAAGATCTTTGCGCGGGCGACCGAGAGGAAAGCCAAAGAGGGACAGATGGAATTAATCGAGAATTTGATACGTGCAAACGATGACTTGGTTTTTTATGATTGTGGCAAGAGATATTGACGTTTGGAGGCCAGATGAATAAGAAAGAGAATAATATGAGTAATAATGATAATGACGATAGAAATGAGATGATAATAATTCTGATAATAACAATAATGATAATAATGATAGTAATAATAAAAAAAAAAAGAATGATAGTAATAAAAGTAATAATCATAATAATGAAAATAGATATAAAAATGATAATGATAATAACAATAACGATGATAATAGCAATAATAATGATAATAGTAACATTAGTAGTGATAAGAGAAATAATGATGATAATAATACGTAGAATGATGATGTGACAATAGAGATAGTGATAATAATGAAAATCATGATGATAATGATAGTAATCATATGAAAATAATAATAATGATAATTATTATTATTACAATCATCATTATCATCATTACTATAGTAATAATGATGTCAATAATAATAATGATAATATTGATGATAGTAATAAAGATATTATAATAAAAAACAAAAACTATAATGACAATGAGAACAACAGTAAGGATAATAACAGCAACAAGAACGCAGTCAAATATGGTCCTTAGTATAATTAACCATGAATTACCATCACCTTCGTTATCATTATCGCCAGTATTGTTACTATTCTCCTACCTGGTACTATCATCTCCATTAATATGATATTACAGTACAATTTATTGTCGTCATCATTATCCTTATTCCTACTATCTTAAGCATTACTTATACTTTAGTTATTTTCATTACTATTTGTTATCATCAGCATCTTCATTATCATCATAGTCTTTATGTTTTTATACGATTAGTTACAATCCTTAATATAATTTTCATGATCATAACTATAATTGCTATCTTTTCTATCGAAATCATTATCAGTAATAATGGTATTGACATAATTTTTGTGACCTTATAATAGCCAAATTATTGATAATGCTGATAATGATTATAGTAACTACAATTGATACGGTGATGACGGCAATGGAGATCATATTAGCGAATATCACTGTTATTATTAAGTTTCTGTTATTACCATTATCATTATCATTATCCGTTTTTTCAAATCATACCGATAACGATGGCAGCGATAACAATAGCATTGACAAGTGCAGTATAAAAGATTGCAACAACAACGATAATAGAATATTGTAATCAACAATAGGACTTGAGACTAATCAACAACAACAAAAAAAAACAAAGCAAGAAATCAGCCTGCCACCGCCAGCTGAACCGAACAAGGAAATCAAAAGCAAAAGGCAAGACACGTGGACTGCTTTTTCGTACCGCTGTTGTCGGGATGGTTCAAGGGCGCGCCGTGTATCAGGAGCTGCTCGATCGTCATGGCGCCCTCCACGGTGTCGGCGGCCCAGTGCAGAGGCGTCGCTCCTGCAGGAACACCGGGGAGAAGATGAGACAGTGAGGCGATAAAGATGTTATTTGTTATTTACACGCGTCTGTGGCTCTGTTGTTGATTTACACCCGTCTGTGATGTATATGT